TTCAAAAATTTCAGATTTTCAGTTTTTTTCACTTGAAAAACCACATAAAACTTTCTGGGGTTCAACTATACCACCAGTTTGCACTTATTTCTGGGACACCCTGTATAACACATATTTTTATATTTTTCTTCTAGCATAAGATCATGTTGCTTTGGTTATTCTTATGATGATCTAAAGTAATCATTATTTTATCTAAAACGTTTCAGTATAACCAATATTCGCAAAGACGCATTTTTTCTAAAACATTCACAGATAATTGTTGAAATTCGAATATGTAAAGTATATACTTATAAAGTTTATAAAAAAACGTCTAAAGCTGTAAACAAAGTTTATTCAGACTTCCCATAAACTATCCTAACTTTGAAGTTAGGGTAGCTTTTTAGCATTAAAAATAGTTTTATATTTCGTTCTACGTTAAAGAAATGAGTATTGAGATAGTTTTTTGACACAATAGTCATGGTAACGCTTATAGTTTTATCCTTGCAAACTTATATTAAACGTTTGTTTTTTATTAATTGAAAAAATATTTCTAATTACGTCACGTGCAAATGTTTAATTATTTTTCAGACAATCAACGCATTTATAAATACGGATATTAATTAATTCTCTATTAAATGCAATAAGTATCGTCCTTGTAATTGTGTAGCAAATGCATTAGTAGTAGTATATTTATTTTCCCATTAAACAAAGAATTATTGGTGTTGTCTGAAGAGTGAAATCCAGAAACGTAGATTTTATTGTAATAAAAACGTTATTTGACAGATGTTATTGAAAATATTATTTTATTAAATTAAATTTCCTTATATTTATATAAGGAAATCCTATATACAGGGTGAGTTTTCTACGATGTTCTCTATGGGTATCTCGGAAACTACTGGAGATAGAGAGTCGGTTAAATAGTTTCAGATTTTTAAAAAAGTTCATGGCTTATTAGATATTCCGAAAATAAAAATTTTGAAAAATTGTCCCTAATTCCATTATAATTTATTTTAGACAAAACGTTTTCAGATAAAAGTTGTAGATAATCACATCCGTAATGAGTTTGTGCTCTCCGATCTTTTTTTAAGTCTGTCATTTTTGACATAAGATCACAAACATATGTTTTTTTTTAATGGAAACCATAGTAGGCCATGTCTTCATAAAAAGCGCCATTTTTTAAGCTTTTCAGCGATATAAGCTAAAATATGTTTTTTTTTCGAAAAATTACTGAGTTATAGCCAATTCTTATTATTTTTAAACATTTATTTTTACATAGTTAGCCATGGAAACAAGTTCAATCGTCGTTGCTCTCAGAAATGTGAAACTGTCACATCCAAACTTTGTAAATTAAAATAAACAAAAATTGTAAATATGAATTTTGCAAATGAAGAAAAGCGTGTAGGATTATTGGTTCAACTTTTCTTGGCCATACATTTTCGAGGATACGTTGACCGGTGAACGTTACTTACTCTTTTTAGAGAACGGTTTTCAAGACAGAAAAGTCAGTAGAGTGGTTCCAACATGACTTTCATTATGATCCCACACCCCAAAATGAAAGAAATGTTAAAAATTATTTATATCATTATAAAGAGGTGGACCAATTGCATGGGCCTCCTCGATTACCTGATCCATTTTAATTTTTAGGCGGCATGATTTACAACAAGGTTTACAAAAGAACTTATGAATTACGTCGACCGGTCGTTCTGTGAGAGTGCTAGTACCGAATTCAGTTTTAAAAAGATGCATGTATGTACTCAAAACAATGGTGGATTTTTTGAACATTTTCTAAAATGCCTCTAGAGATTTCAAGTGGATAGATTTTTTGAAAAGGATAGGACTGGAGAATGTAACCTAAGGATCAGGAGAGGACCACAATATATTTTGTTCCACAACAGGAACTAATTAGTGATGACGCTTTGGAACAGGATCTGTTATTTTCGAAACAGGGTTGTTTTGGAACTGGCTTGGAACAGGTTTATGTGCTATCCAGTTCCAGTTCCATGTGTTCCAGCTGTTTTTCGCAACCAAAACACTGCAACTTAAATTAAATACTTAAAGAAATAAATTCTTGGAATTGTTTAAATTATGTTATCTACTATATTTGTGATACTAGATTCTTAATAGTGTATTTTTCAAAATTAGATAATTATATATTATATTGCATTTGGCAACATCGCCAGTACGTTTTTTTGATAGTAAGAAATCTCTTCGCCTATTCCGTTTACATTAAAAAAACTCTGCGTAAAAGATGTATACATACCGACAAAGGAACCGCTTGTTTTTATTATCTAGGAATGTAAGTTGTTTTTATTTTATATATGTGTTTTACTATTTTACATATATAAAATAGTAAATGTTAGATATTCTTTTCTTTCTGTATTTTTAAATATTGATTTCCTATTTAAAATTTATAATAAAAATTTAATTGAATTTTAAATAAATATATCAAATATCGGCAACGCTGCGAAAACCGTCACCCTCGTTTTTTTTACGTCTATGCACTATATTAGTGCACTCGCACTCAATCTCGATAATATAACGCCAAGCGACGGTATCGCTAAAGCGATATACTACCTCGTTTCTCAACTGAAACTAGTTCTTTTTACTTAACTGTTCCAAGTCCCAAACTGTTCCAAGTCCCAAACAGTTCCAAGTCCCTAACTGTTCCAAGCCCTAAACTGTTTCAAGTCCCAACCTGAACAGTTTGAGACTTGGAACAGTTTGCGACCTGGAACAGTTTAGGCTTGGAACAGTTTAGCTGCTTGGAACAGTTAGGGACTGGAACTGTTTGAGACTTGGAACAGTATGCGACCTGGAACAGTTTAGGGCTTGGAACAGTTAGGAACTTGGAACTGTTTGAAACAGTTAAGTAAAAAGAACTGGTTTGAGTTGATAATCGAGGTTGTATATCGGTTTCCCTAGTCTAGCCAAGTCTAGCGGACGCGACCGTTCGGGTGTTATCTGTTATCGGGATACAGGGGCGTAAAAAACAAACGTGGCCGTTGCCGTTATTTAAAATATTTAATTAAAACTCAACTAAATTCTCATTATAAATTTTAAATTTATAATATTTTTTTTTAAATATTTTATTTTTTTAATGTAAACAGAAACAGAATAGGTAAGGAACATTTTTTATTATAAAAGGTACAGGGTACTTTTAGGGGTTGAATATTTCGATTCTCAAGAGTTTTTTCGGGAAAACATGTTTTTCAAAAGTTTATATTTTTCGAAAATTTGATAGTTTTTTTTTAAATTTTTAGTTAAAAAACATTATATCTTGGTAATATAGCAAACTAGATAGTAGATTAAATTTAGAGAAAACAGAAACATCCCCAATAGTTCTCATTATTTAAGCAAAAATATTCGTTTACATAAATTTAAAAAGAAAAACAGCAACCGAATCCGAATGACGCAAGTACGGTATTAATTTTCGTTTTGGAACAGTTTGGAACTGGAACAGGTTTCTTGGAACAGGTATCTTTTGCAACTGGAACAGCTTGTACCTGTTATTAAAAAATCGCTGTTCCGGCCATGACTAGAACTAATCACTAAGTTGAATTTATATTACTTTTTCCTCTGTTTTATTATTTCAAACAATTCTTGTTAAGAGATGAATAAGGTTTAGTAAGATAATTTTGATTTTATTTCAATTCCAATTAATCAATGACCAATCTTTTTGAATGCAACCTCAAGATAAGTTCATTGGTATTATTATTTTTATCTTTAAGTTGTTTTAGTATAATTTTATTTTAAAAATGTGTATTCATTATTTATTTATCCTACGTGTCAGTGATTAGATTACAATATGACGAACTTTTTTTACATTTAAGTCTATTTTTGTTACAATTTATATACTTATAATGTATATTAACGTAGAAAAATAGTATACCTTTTGAAATATCAAAGAACTTTTTTGTTTTCTCTGTTTGATTAATCTGATTTCTTTGAATATTTTGATTTTAAAATTATTGAATGTTTTACATCAAATTTTTATGATAACAAAAAATGTCAACCACCGCTTCGAGTGAAAAGTACTGTACGTAGTCAAAAACGCCTAGCCGCTACCAGTAACTCTCTATCCAGTCGGCACAAAATTGCACAAATTCGTTTGATTGTTTTGGTTTTATTCTTTTCTTATGCGATCCTTTATTCTTCTTCAATTTTGACTGGTTTGAATGTCTCACACTGTGCTGCACACTGCTGTGAAGGATTTCCTTCAATATGAAGGATTTTACTGTGAAATTTCATCGATTGAAGGGCTGAAGAAGGATTTTTATCCAAAAAGAAGACAATATGAAGGTTTCTGGCAGTTTTGCACAATAAAAATTGTTAAAATGTGTAGTAGGATTATTTTATTGTTTTTCCCACATCTATTTTTTCACCTTAACCGTAACGTGTTTAATTAAGGATGCCTCGATTTAAAGCAATGTTGCTGTCAAAAAGTCCGCAATACGAAAGATTTTAATATTTAACAAAAAATTAATAGATCCACCAAGTTCCAAGTTCTTGATGTTGAAAAGAAATAAATATAGGTAAACGGAAAATATATCTATTAAGTCAGCTGATCATAGCGTCTTGCACGATTAATTATTCTCGGTTCAAGCACTCATTGTAAGCAATGAATTAGTTAGACATACGTTATAATTCTGCTGTCGAGTATCTATCAAAGCATTTTTGACCCTGTAATTTTTTCAATAAAAAAATTATTTAAATACATTTAAATCCCGAATAACATAAAATTTTCAAAAATGGAAGCAATTAAAAAACGTGCGAGAAGAAATAAAGTTTTTAACCTATCCTCGTTGTTAAAGTATCATTTAATGTACCCTTGTGGTTAAAGTACTATTTTTGATAGATATAAGGCAATTTTAACAGTTGATATGGAAAAAATACACAAAATTTGGTGAATTTTATGTGAAGCTGAAGGAATATGAAGTGTTTTAATATTTATTTTCTCGAAAAAAAATACATCCACCAGAAACTCAAAAAGTTTATCGAAAAAAAAGGCAATATTATTTTACCTAACGTAACTAACGTAGTATTATAGCACTATGTTATTTTATTCCTACAAACTACATCATTTAGAATGGCTGCTTTTGTGATGCTACGGAAGCACCTAACACGAATAATTTCACTTGAACAAAATCGAAAAACCGACCGAAAATTCTCAACAACGATATATATGTATAAATATATTTTCTTAAATATAATTCTCCTTGTTTTGATCACTCATATAATATATCAACAACAATACAATAGTATCCTCCAATTAATCCTCTTTAATACGAACACACAACAACGGCACACGGCTAGGTAGTATCAACATGATCAACATGATCAACACCGACCGACGAACGATATTCAACAGGTAACAACGGTCGCGCGCTGACGTCGTATCCTGATGATGATAGCGACGGGGCGACGCGAAACGAGCGACTGGCGCCTGGCGCGGCGGTGGAGCAGCATCCCGAGTGCTCCCCCGACGCTGTCATGGCCGACAAAGACGTCCGCGACGGTGGACGTCCGGCGAGCGACTGAACGGAGACCGAGGAGCCCCGGTTTTCGGAGCTGCGCCGCGACGGATGGGTTTCGGGGGGCCCCACGCAGACACGGTGCGAGCCCTATTACGTGGGGGGAAAAAGATGAGGGGTGTAGAGGTATGGGTTGTCCTGAACATGAGATTCAAAATGGTATACCTCCTATATTCCTATATTGTCTGAGGGTTAGTTCAGGCAGGTATGATGGTAGTTATTGAAACACGTTTGTGACTTTCAGTGTTGCTAAATTATCTATCGATAGAGTCTATCACTGCAAAATAAAACACTAATTCATCACAGTACAGGGTGGGCCTAATTGGACGTTTTTAAATTCAAACACCCCTTTTTATAGGAGATAGACGAAAACTAATACGGTGTCTGGAGCTCAATTTTTGTCAAAAATATGATGGTGACAACCACATATCGATATCTGTTACCGTTTCGGAGTTATGGGGTATTTTTAAATCGCTGTAACTTTTTTGCTATGGAAAATTTTGTATTTTTATGAAAACATTTCCAAAGCACCTTTTTACGTAGAATTTAATGGTATAAATATAATATTTTTAAAATTAATAATTTAAGAATTATCAACAGAAAATTTGATTTTTTATATGGGACACCCGGTATATTTTTAATTTATTAAAAAGAATTTAAAATTACCTTTCCAAAAATATAGAACACTTGATATTTTGCTCGATTCCTCTTCGAGATATAGAGTTTATAAAAATTCGCCCACTTTAAACAAGTAGGCTTTGAACGGCGCCAGGTGTAATGCAAAAAAATTCGAGCTGTGAGCATCAACCAGTAGGTCCCTGCAGTGGGAAAATCACTAGGTCTCTCCAGTGTGAAAATCACTAGGTCTTCGCAGTGGGAAAATCACTAGGTTTCTGCGGTGGTAAAATCACTAGGCCTCCGCAGTGGTAAAATCACTATGTCTCCGCAGTGGGAAAATCACTAGGTCCCCGCGGTGGTAAAATCACTAGGTATCCGCAGTGGGAATATCACTAGGTCCTTGCAGTGGGGAATCGCTATGTCCCCGCGGTGGGAAAATCACCAGAACCCCGCAATGGGAAAAGCACTAGGTCCCCTCCCCGCAGTGGAAAGATCATTAGGTCCCTGCAGTAGGAGAGTCACTAGGTCTCTCCAGTGTAAAAATCACTAGGTCTCTGCAGTAAGAAAATCACTAGGTCCCTGCAGTGGGAAAATCACTAGGTCTCCACAGTGGGAAAATCACTATGTCCCCGCGGTGGTAAAATCACTAGGTATCCGCAATGGGAAAATCACTAGGTCCTTGCAGTGGGGAATCGCTAGGTCCCCGCGGTGGGAAAATCACCAGAACCCCACAATGGGAAAAGCACTAGGTCCCCTCCCCGCAGTGGAAAAATCATTAGGTCCCAGCAGTTGGAGTGTAACTAGGTCCCTCCAGTGTGAAAATCACTAGGTCTTTGAAGTAAGAAAATCACTAGGTCGCTGCAGTGGGAAAATCACCAGGACCCCGCAGTGGAAAAATCACTAGGTTCCTGCAGTAGGAAAATCACTAGGTTTCTGCAGTAAGAAAATCACTAGCTCCATGCAGTGGGAAAATCACTAGATCCCCGCAGTGGGAAAATCACTAGATTCCTGCAGTGGGAAGATCACTAGGTCCTTGCAGCGGGAAAATCACCAGGACCCCGCAGTGGAAAAATCACTAGGTTCCTGCAGTAGGAAAATGACTAGGTCCCTGCAGTGGGAAAATCACTAGGTTTCTGCAGTAAGAAAATCACTAGCTCCATGCAGTGGGGAAATCACTAGATCCCCGCAGTGGGAAAATCACTAGATTCCTGCAGTGGGAAGATCACTAGGTCCTTGCAGTGGGAAAATCACTAGTTCCCCGCGGTGGAAAATCACCAGGACCCTGCAGTAGGAATATCACTAGGTCCCCGCAGTGGAAAAATCCCGAGATCCCTGCAGTGGGAGAATCACTAGGTCTCTCCAATATGAAAATTACTAGGTCCCTGCGGTAAGAAAATAACCAGGTCTCTGCAGTGGGAAAATCACTAGGTCTCCGTCGTGGGAAAATCATTATGTCCCCGCGGTGGTAAAATCACTAGGTATCCGCAGTGGGAGAATCACTAGGTCCTTGCAGTGGGGAATCGCTAGGTACCCACGGTGGGAAAATCACCAGAACCCCACAATGAGAAAAGCACTAGGTCCCCTCCCCGCAGTGGAAAAATCATTAGGTCCCAGCAGTTGGAGAGTAACTAGGTCTCGCCAGTGTGAAAATCACTAGGTCTCTGAAGTAAGAAAATCACTAGGTCGCTGCAGTGGGAAAATCACTAGGCTCCTGCAGTAGAAAAATCACTATGCTCATGCAGTGTGAAAATCACTAGGTCGCTGCAGTGGGAAAATCACTAGGCTCCTGCAGTAGGAAAATCACTAGGTCGCTGCAGTGGGAAAATCACTAGGTCTCTGCAATAAGAAAATCACTAGCTCCCTGCAGTGGGAGAATCACTAGGTCTCTCCAATATGAAAATTACTAGGTCCCTGCAGTAAGAAAATAACCAGGTCTCTGCAGTGGGAAAATCACTAGGTCTCCATCGTGGGAAAATCACTATGTCCCCGCGGTGGTAAAATCACTAGGTATCCGCAGTGGGAGAATCACTAGGTCCTTGCAGTGGGGAATCGCTAGGTCCCCACGGTGGGAAAATCACCAGAACCCCACAATAAGAAAAGCACTAGGTCCCCTCCCCGCAGTGGAAAAATCATTAGGTCCCAGCAGTTGGAGAGTAACTAGGTCTCTCCAGTGTGAAAATCACTAGGTCTCTGAAGTAAGAAAATCACTATGTCGCTGCAGTGGGAAAATCACTAGGCTCCTGCAGTAGGAAAATCACTAGGCTCATGCAGTGTGAAAATCACTAGGTCGCTGCAGTGGGAAAATCACTAGGCTTCTGCAGTAGAAAAATCACTAGGTCGCTGCAGTGGGAAAATAACTAGGTCTCTGCAATAAGAAAATCACTAGCTCCCTGCAGTGGGAAAATCACTAGGTCTCCGCAGTGGGAAAATCACTAGCCCCTTGCAGTGGGAAAATCAATAGTTCCCCGCGGTGGAAAATCACCAGAACCCCGCAGTGGGAAAATCACTAGGTCCCTACAGTGGGAAAATCACTAGGTCTCTCCAGTGTGAAAATCACTGGGTTCTTGCAGTGGGAAAATCACTAGGTCCCCGCGGTGGGAAAATCACCAAGACCCCGCAGTAGGAAAATCACTAGGTCTCTCCAGTGTGAAAATCACTAGGTCCCTGCAGACCTAGATAATGAAAGTGGGCAACGCTGTGCCGGTCAAACTTAATCGCGTGACTAAAAGTTTGTTTTATATGAACTATATTTAAACAGCATTATCCATTAAAATCATTATAATTAGATTTCTGTCATTTCGGAGTATATCCCTACGGTCAAAATGGCAAAATTACGTTTTTTACAATGAAAAAAATAACTCCATTTAGAAACTACGCCACTACGCTTCAGTTCTAGTTAAAATAAACTAAATGCGTTACAAAGTTTACTCCCCTATTTAGTATTCGGAGCGGCAAACTGGGAAAATATGCGAACAAAAATATCCAGGATTTATTAAATGCATTTTTTGGCATCGGCATGCGGGCGAAATCCTCGCCGGCCATATTTAAATTTTAACAAGGGCAGCAACAATAAAATTTTGTTTACCTGAAAAATAAAATAAAAATAACGCTGGACCTATATATGCGTGCTACAGTGCGTCGCCGTATCGTAAAATATTTAATAGATTCTATTAATATTTATTGCAATATTGCTCAAAATTGAGTGGAGCAGAGTTTTCAAAAATTATAGTCCCCTATCCTTAGAAATTAATAATATAGAGATATAGTTCATATCAAATAAAATTTTATATATTATACGACTAAAAACTCAGGTAATAGATGCGAAATACAGTTACGTCACTGAATTCTACGTAAAAAAGCATATTTTCCATAAGTTATAAGATAACCGAGATACAAAGGGGACCGAAAAAGTTTTCAAATTCACCCTGTATTGTCCGAACTAAGAGCGCAATGACAAATCTGAGTGTAGCATCTTTAGTTTCAAAAAAGTAGCATAGTGATTTCAAAAACCGCATCTTTGTATCTCTACTCATAAACCAGAAACCTGTGAAACACACGTAAATGAGACATCCTGTACATAACAAAGACATTAATGTGGCCAACCCGACATGAACTTTTTAGAAAAGCATCGTGTTCCTACCAAACAAAAACCGAAACAAAGATATATATAGCGTTAAATTCTTGTTTTTTTTTTCTTGTTACTTCCTTGGCTAGCAGACAGAAAGTATCTAGCAGCTCCAAACATATGATGGAAATGGAATATCGAGACAAATGTGTTCTAATGACACGAAACAGTTGTTGCCATACGTCTGCAAGGTTTTCGTTATAGCAAAACAAAACAATCAATAGAGACGATAAGTTTACAAAATTTTCATCTTAAATTATGAAAATAAACAAATAGAAAATCAGAAAATATTGTCTTGTGATTTATCTAGTTAGTGCGAAAAAAATAAATAATACAAGGTGTCCGAATATTCCGTGGACATATAAATAAATTTATCGGATATAAAATGCTTCGTTTGTCCGTTGGAGGGCATCATTTTTTTTGGGGTGGGGGGCATTTTGTTTATTTATATCCCTGAGTGTGAGGGTGAATCAGTGAAATAATAATTGGAAAAAAAATGTATTCTACGCTACTGTAAGCTGTTCTATTGGCAATATTTACACGAAATAATTAGCCCAGATACAATGTTGAAATGAACACTACCTACTGTGTAAATTTTCCGGATTTATTTTCCTATTATATGCCTGTCTGTTCCATTCACAAAAAATGTTATTTTTTTTTGTTGTTTTCAGTTAAAACAGAAAATAAAATAAAACAAAATACGTTTCTCACGGGGGAGTTTTAAAAATATAATGCT